CAAACGAATGATCGTAACATATTGACAACTTCAGATGTTACAACAAACGTCTGACTTTCTATTATGTTGTCAAGCTGGTAAACTGTATCCACCGCTGCGGTCTCCTTTTTCAACAATATTTCACACAACTCAGTCACAGTTCAGTTAATTTCAAAATTTGTTAGATTCATTTGATTTCACTTTATATTAATTATCATTAACATTTTCAATACTATGTACACTTCATCTAATTTATATAACGATGCACGTCATCGGGTCATAGCCTGTGACGTACATGATACCAACACAAAATATTTAGGTGTAGGTGTGTTCTTTTTTAGAATCACTTTACCGAGTACACTGGCATTACAGCCACAGACATATTTTATTATATACGCGTAGAAATAATATTTAAAAATTTCTATTAATGTTAACTTAAATGAAATACACAATAGATAATATCTGTACCTCAGAGCTAAACTGTATTAACTCACAAAATTGAAATTTTACAGGAGAGCAAATTAAAAGAAATATAAAGAGTAAATTTTAAATAGAATTTTTATTTCTTTTTCTTCAAGTATGTGACAAACACCCTTTGAGAGGTATAAATGATACTATATATTACTGTATTTGTTATTTTTATAGATCTTTAATTTTTTGAAAAACATGGAGTTAATACTGTTTAGCGTGGAAACAATTACCATATTCGGGAGATAATATAATGGTAAGTTAACACAGGTGAATAAATAATCTGGAGATAATACGATAAATGAAACAAAATTTAGTCAAGAACACTTTTTTTTATTTAATTAAATGAAATAAACAAGTCAACAAAATGATTAAACAAAATTAACGAAAAACGAAACTCAATGGATTGTTCACTTAACATTGTTTTGTAAAAATTTTATAAATCTTCATCTACTTTATCGGAGTGGGATAAATTTTTATAAAAATTATGAAATTCACTTGGAACCCAGGTGAGCAAACTTTGCAGATGTGTGTATTTTTTTGTAGATATTTCCTTTGGCTTATCGCGAATCACAGGCAGGACTGCAGGAAATACAACACGCCTAGTATTTCTGTTAAGATCAACAGATTGGAATGTTTCCGAATTAAAATTAGTTTTAAAAAAAAGTAATCCTAAATTATCGCTGCGTACTTGCAAGTGGACAACATCTGACATGCGAAAGTCTGTATTTTGCTGAGTTTTTTTCCTTATAACAAAAGGTGAACAGTTGTTGTTGTAAAGAGTCTTAAAATCCTTAAAGTCATTTAGTTCCATATTAATTACATTGAATGTTTTAGAACGACAGCAAAGTCGTGCTAGCTGCTGCCAGTCCCAGGGAGTCATGATTTTTAAAAAGGGTGTTTTCTTTCGTTCTCTCTCAATAAGAGAATGATCACTGTCCACTTCTAAATGGGTATGACCACGTAACAAAAACTTGTGATTTATAATTTTTATCTGTGGATACTTGTGAAGTATCCAAAAGTAAAGCATAACCATTATCATATTTCTGTTCTGGGATGGGCAGTTGTCGGACCATACAGTAATCTCTCTTATATTTTCATTTATAGCTTCAGTCCACCTCAAAAAGCCCGAAGCCATTTCGTTTGCGCCACGTCCAGACTTTGATTCATCCCACATCATGCAAGACGTAACATTACCTGAAGTGTCTGAAATCGTATAATTGTATGTCCATAACTTGAGCTTATAAAAACTCTGCTGGTTACTTAGAACAGGCGTTGGCAGACATTTCTGTAAATCCAGTGTCAATAATTTTATTGTTCCACCACTTGTTGCTGCTCTTTCCTTATCAAGTCTTTTTAATTCATACCTGTTACTAGCCTCCAAAAGATGTTGTTGATAATCTTGTTCAATATTTTCTTTTCCTTCTACCATCTGAATTTTGGCCAAATTTAATCTGTCACATTCATCACACGTGTCATTGTATGGAAGTTTAAATGAAAGATTAAATTCTGTGTTAAATATTTCAGAATACAGCCAAAGTTTAGCAATGTTTTCTTCGGGTGTATTGCTTTCCATTAACTCAGATCTGTATATCTCATACATTCTGGTAATATTTAGTTCACAACCAAGATATTTTTTCTGAGAACGCTCTCTAGAATAATGCGATTCAATAGTTGGGAACTTGCTAATATGATCCCGAATGCCTTGTTTGATGAATTCGGGAATTTTATTGACAGGCTCACGTTTACCCCTTTGGTCTGTATTAACTACTCCACATTCCTTTTTCTTCGCAAGAGCTGTTGTAACGAATGTCTCGGATATACTTAAGGTAGACAGAAAGAATTTCTGACAAACTTTATACCTTACATGATTAAAATATAATGAATAACGCCTGGTAAATTCCCTTATGCCAGAACGTGCTCCTGTGGTTTCCCGGATACGTCTCACAGGTACGCATTCTACCATTGCTGCTACAAATTGTCTTTTCATGTCGATGTTTTTATTAGGATCCCAAAATTCAGAATGTATGCAACGTCTTTGATCTTCAGTTATAGCTTTTGTGCACCCAACGCTACAGGTTTCTTTACATGGTGCTCCAATTTGCTTCGATTGCAAAACTGTATTCTTGGTTTGGCGTTTTTTACCACCGGCCACTTGTTTTTTACGAACATTCCGTTTCCAACGCAGAGGATTTGATTTCCTTTTTTTACCTGGGAGTTTTTGATTATCTGACTCACTTTCAGAATTATCTGTTTCGTTGTCAGTTGGTCCGTATGTTTTATCATTGATAGAGTCATCAGACTCCAAGCATAAATCCGCGTGATCTACCTCTTCTCTATCTTGCACTACAATTGCCATACTTTGAGGACTACAGGTAATGGGTAAAGCAGTCTGTAAAATGATTCCATTTTCTGAAACTAAACAAAAAAATATTATGATTCAAATAGGAAATTGTGAAGTATAAATAAATATACCTGTTGTTGAGACAAGTTCTACAACATTTTGTGTATTAAGACTTGTGGATCCATGATTCAGTGTTGATATTGTACCATTAGTGTAATTTCCATCTAAGGATATGGGCAAATTGATTTCTAAAAATTATAAAACATGTACATATTTTATTTATTTACAAAAACCGAAATAATTGTGTTATACCTTTGCTCGAAACAGATGGCGAAACATTGTCTATAACAACTTCGCAAGATACAGGTGAGGCAATTTTAACATTAGAAATAATTTTAATAGGCATATTTTGGTTTTTTGTACCTTCATCAAGATCGCCGACTTTTCCTAAAACATAATTACTGTTATCCTAATTTAATAACTACATTTAATATTTAAGTTATAAACCGAATTATGGAGTTAATACAGTCTGTCGGTCTTAAAGTAATTATTGTGTACTAAGTCCATTTTTAATACAAGGATTTTCGGTTAAAATACCACGTAAAATCGCCCAAATATCTAAATACGTATTAAGTTTTTATGTAATATTGAAGGCTAATAATTTTTTATTTTAAATAAATTTGTTAAGACGTACCTATTTTGAGGTTAGATTTATTTATCGCCGACGAAGAGGATAATGCTTGATTGTTTTCCACAGAATCAGTACTGCATTGCGTCGGAGAAGTAAAGCATACCTCTTGATGCTTTTCTAAAGCTTTTTTCACAATTTTATCTGCTCTGGTACACATTCTTTAGAATGTTATTAAACACACACCATCAATGTGAAATAGCATAAACACACTGACTACAGTGCCACACCGCGGTTTTACGTCGTTCCGTGGAGTTAATACATCTTAAATGTGCATGTGATATTAACTCCACTAATACTACTAATAATACTTACATTGCTGGGTATTAAGTGTAAACGACTGTTTAGCTCGGAACTACTGAGGGACTTAATACACTTTATGGTTGCTTATCTTTGAAACTACATTAAATAGGATTTAATATCGTATTGCATATGAAAGATGTGAAGTCTGTTATGTAGAAAGTGAAATAATACAATTTTTCAAAAAAATGGAGTTAATACAGTTTAGCTCTGAGGTACAGATATGTTTCATTTAATTTGTATAAATGCATTATAAAGCGTTTTTATGAAGAACATTTGTTCGGAACACACTGTAACTGTAATCGAACGAAGGTGAAATTTTGGCATAAATTGGTAACACTTATTTGACAGTTGCGGTGTTGACACTTTTTGTACTTTATTATTTTGAATTTTAAAGTGAATACCTCTTGTTTTATATTTTTAACTATTTAATAAAATCTGTTCTTTTTAGAACAAAATTAGTGTGTTTTATTTCAAAAATGTCACGTAAGAATTTAAATAGTCGTTGTAAAGAGATGGTAATACTTTTGCAATAATTATGTGATCTATTTGATTTAAAATGGAGTCAGGATTTTTTTATACTTTGGCAACTATGTCAACTTCGATCTCTGACTTACGTCGACGACGATTACGTCATTATCTAAATTAGATGAAATATAGTTCAATCTGATGTATTGTAATGAACAAATAAATTCGAATGTGTTTTTACTTACCTAATTGTAACTGCCAACATTTGCATTGGGTTAATGCATTCTCTCGTAAAATGTGTTTTGCTGCTGAAGATTAAACTATAACCGATGATGTAGTTTATTAAACGTGGATATTAACATCCTAAAGTAGTTAAAAAATTTCTCATCTTTTGGATTCCAAGAAAAGGGTATCAAATATACCAAACTCTTTCCTTTTTATATGAATAGCATGAATCCACACATTTCTAGTCCTCTTTCTTCTATTTATATGCCGATAGAAATCCATCATGGCAACGATGTGTTGGTGGACGATTAATGGTGGACATTGACTGACATTTCGGAACGGACCATAAAACCGTAAAGTGTAGCTTGCCAGTCCCTGTAAACGTTGCCGTGTGACCGGCGACCAGGAGTGTGTGAAGCTGCTCTAACGATATAAATTGTACTTATTAAAAAAAAGTCTATTAAAGAACCTCATTTTTGAATGAAATATTTTATCATTTTTATTCATGTAACTTTTACGTACATATATTTTAGAAATACATTATAATATAGGTATATTAATTTGTTGTTTAAATTCTTTGATAATGTTTTCAGCATCTTCAAGTTGCTCCATCAAACTTTTTATTTCTTTTCGTTTGTTTTCGTAGGCTTCAGAAATATGCTGGAGCGCAATTTCAGTGTCTACCGATACTCTCTTTGCCCGATTAGCTTCATTCATTTCTTCTATCATAGCTTTCTTTATTCGTATTCGTTCGTTTTCCAAATTGGAGATTGTTTTCTTTAATAGTTCTTTTTCATCGTCTAAAGCACAACACTGTTTCGCAGTGGCTTTAGTTTCTTCGAGTGCTTCATCTAACTGTTTTTTGTAATGTTCGATGTCTTGTAGAAGTTGCTCATTTTCGTACTTTAGTTTTGTGTTTTCTACTTCTAGATCTGTAAGAAGTTGTTTCATATCTAGTATTTTCTCTCGCAACATATATTTCTCATCGTCTTCCCGTAGTTTTCGCAATGCTTCGTTGGACTCTTCATATTTTCGCTCTTCTTCTTCAAGTTTTTTTGTCAAAGACGTAATGACTTCCTCCGTATTGTTCTTTTGTGGTTTTATTTCAAATTTATCGTTTCGTCTGACTTTTTCTATTATTTTGTCAAGCTGGTAAACTGTATCACGGAGCTCATTTTTTGCTTCATTGTCACCTAATAAAAAAATATAATTAAAACAATTGATATATTAGTAAAATATAAACAAATATTGGAACATACATAAATGAAATGGGATAATATATAAAAAGATATATTGATATATTTTTGGATATCTGAGCTAAGGTATCTACCTAACTGTTTATAGTTTTTATGATGTGTTAATGATGTAAACCAGTGATGGTTCAAGAGTATCGAAAGAGGTGAAGCAAATCCTCTCTGGCCTAACCTAACTTAAACTCTCCAACTAAGTAGAAGACCTTCTGAAATAATTGTTGCAAAATCTAATTCGGTCGAAACATCCAATTCTTTAGTAAAACATGCTTGACTTCTTCTTCTTCAAGTTCCACTCCTATCGGAGATTGGAAATCATTCTGGCAATTATAATTTTATTGGTTACTCGCCTGAATAGTTCAATTGAACTGCATCCAAACCATTCACGGAGATTGCGTAGCCACGAGATTTTACGTCTTCCTACGCTTCTTCTACCTTTGATTTTACCCTGCATTATATTCCTTAGTAGTTCGTACTTTTCACCTCTCATGATGTGCCCCAAGTATTCCAATTTCCTGATTTTTATGGAATTTAAAACTTCGCATTGTTTTCCTAGTTGTTCGAGAACTTGTTCGTTTGTTTTGCGATCCATCCATGATATTTTCAAAATGCGTCGGTAACACCACATTTCGAATGCTTCTAGGTTTTTAATGTTGGATTTTTTAAGTGTCCAAGCTTCAACTCCATACAAAAGGGTAGAGAAAATATAACATCGAAGCATTCTTATCCGGAGCGATATATTGATATCGCGATTACAAAAAAGTTTTCTCATTCTATTAAAAGTTGACCGCGCAATTTCAATGCGGCATCTTATTTCTTTTGTCTGATCAGTATCTTCTGTGATCCATGCTCCAAGGTATTTGTACGAAGATATTTGTTCAATTTCTGTATTATCTAGTACTAGCTTAACTTTGATGTTTTGTGCTTTTGTAAATACCATGAACTTGGTTTTCTTCAAATTGATTTTTAGTCCATAATCGTTGCAATATATATTTAGTTGTTCAGCAAGGTGTTGCAGTTCTTCTAGTGTTCCTGCCAGAAGGACGGTGTCGTCAGCATATCTTATGTTATTAAGTGGCTCACCGTTTATTATAAGGCCCTCACTGATCTCGGCAAGCGCTAATTCTGAGATGGCTTCACTGTATAAATTGAATAACAAGGGTGATAAAATACACCCTTGGCGGACCCCACGGCGAATCTGGATATCCTTGGTCAGTTCGTTTTCAACTTTCACTTTTGCTGTTTGATTCCAATAGAGGTTACAGATGATTCTAATGTCTCTACTGTCTATGTTTTTATTTAATAAAATTTCTTTAAGTCGATTATGCTGCACTCTGTCAAATGCCTTCTCAAAATCAATGAAACAGGCATATACTTCCTGATTAATATCTAAGCATCTCTGCGAAAGAACACTTACTGCAAACAGTGCATCTCGTGTTCCCAGTCCTTTCCTAAATCCCATTTGTGTATTACTTATGCCTTCATCTAATTTCCTATGTATTCTATTGTGAATTACTTTTAAAAACAATTTCAAGACATGACTTATTAAGGCTATGGTGCGATGTTCATTGCACTCCTTTGCATTGGCTTTTTTGGGAAGCAGTATGAATGTTGATTGGAGCCATTCTTTAGGTATTATACCTGTTCTATATATGGTATTGAATAGATCCAAAAGAAGATCAATAGATTCAGTATTCACAATTTTAAGTAATTCGATAGGAACTTCATCAGGCCCGGGAGATTTACCACCTTTAGCTTGTATGCTTGACTTACCAAACGGTTACTTCTTAAATATAAGGTCAATTCTCCTGTCCTTTAGACTTGAAAATTTGTCGATGAGGTCTTCATAAAATGGGTGTGTATTTATCAGTCCATTCCTCCTCAAAAACTCCATTCTTTTATCCTAATTTTAAATTTCGTAAAAAGACATAATTATTGTGAATGGAGTAACCGTCAACAATATTAGATATGCCGACGATACCTTAGTCCTTGCCAATTGCGGAGAAGACCTTCAAAATCTAATGAACAAAATAAAACAGACTTGTGATCAGTATGGATTAAAACTCAACGTTAAGAAAACTAAATATATGATAGTTAGCAAACAAAATTATATACATGATGACGGTATAAAAGTCGGAGATGCCACACTGGACAGAGTAGAGAAACTCGTGTATCTCGGCAGTAATATCAATGAGAGCTGGGATCCAACCGCAGAAATTAAAAGCCGAATAGAACAAGCCCGAGCTGCCTTTGTAAAAATGAGAAACGTACTTTGCAGTCACGATCTTAGCATTGACCTTAGAGTTCGTATGATATCTTGCTACATCTTTCCTGTCCTGCTGTATGGAGTAGAAGCGTGGACCCTAACTGAGGCTATGCTTAAACGCTTGACAGCCTTTGAGATGTGGGTATACAGACGACTACTGAAAATAAGCTGGGTCGACAGAGTTAGAAATGAGGAGGTCCTTAGACGGCTGAACCAAACAACACAACTGGTCAATATAATAAAGAAACGCAAGCTGGAATACTTCGGTCATATTATGAGACACCCTGAAAAATATGATCTTTTACATCTGATCATTCAGGGAAAGATCCAAGGTAATCGTGGTCCTGGTAGAAGAAGAACATCATGGCTGAAAAATCTAAGGCAATGGTATGGAAAATCAACTACATCGTTATTTAGAGCTGCTGTCAATAAAGTCACGATAGCGAATATGGTAGCCAACATGATATCCAACGATCGATAACGGTCATGGAACTAGAAGAAGAAGAAAAAGACATAATTACCCCCGTTTCGGATGGTGGCACTGTTTTTTCCTTCAATTATAATCACAAGACTCTTTCTTACACACCAAAATCTATAAAGATCGTGCAAGCCATTTCCGAGATAATTGAAGCGTTCCATACTTAAAACTCAACCTGTAGATTGCGAATAAAGAGAAAAACCAAAGCATTATTTTAAAAGTGGAAAATAAGGCCTTTATTTTAACTCATAATACTGCCCCTTCTCAAGTTTGAAAGAAAATTAATCAAATGCGGGGAAAAATACGTACACAAGAATTCCAGCTCTTTTACATAAAAGTAATTTAGTAACCAATGATCAAAAAATCGTCAACGTAATCACCGAAAATTTCTATCAACGATTTAAAAACAAGAATGTACTCCAAGAAACAAATCCTCCTGTACAATATCTTTCCCAATCTCTCAAATTTGACTCTACTGTCTTAGACACTCCATTTACACTACAGGAACTCTTAAATATTCTTCCAACTTGCAAAAATTCACCTTCAGGTCCCGATAACATCCCTTTCATATTCCTCAAAAATCTTCTCATATCTGCCGTAAAAAAATTGTTTATACTGTACAACATAATATGGACCAATCAGAAATTTCCAATATTATAAAGGGGAATCTATCGTTATACCAATTAAGGAACAGGACAAATCCCCGAATAATACAAATTCCTACCATCCTATTTCATTGACATGCACCTTGTGTAAGCTACTAGAAAAACTAGTAAACAAAAGACTTATGCAAATTAGAAAAACACAAAATTTTAGACTCAGCTTAATCCTGATTCCGTCCATCACGAAGCACGACTGACAACTTAGTAATGTTACAGAGATCACAACTGCCTTTCAAAATAAGCATGATTTAACGGCAACATTATTTGACATCGAGAGCGCCTTCGACACTCTATTACGTTCTACAGTATTGGCCAAATTAAACGAATAGAAAATTACGGAAAATACATTATCTTTTATCGAGCACTTTCTTTCTAACGCCGCTTTAAAGTATTAGTTAATGGAAAAGCTTCCTCAACTTACGTTCAGAAAAATGGGGTACCCCAAGGGACAGTTCTAAGTTGTACTTTATTTATAATAACTATTAATGATATTTGCAAGAATATTCACAACCTAGTGAAAAACCAACTTATATGCTGAAGACCTGATTTTATATTGCCGCCGTAACGTTCACAACTACAAACTTAATCCAAAAAACAGTAAATGAGCTAACTTCTTGATCTATAAGCTTTGGTATTAATTTCTTTGCTGGAAAATGAAACAAACAGCCAAATACACCAAAGAACACTGCAATATGTACAGATTGGACGTAATTCATCGACTCGATTGAAAATATATTTCGAACATCTATTAGTTTATGCCATACATGAAGCAACAAACTGTCACACTTCTTCTGGAACAAACATACATTAATCTGGATTTCTTCACACATTGGCGTTTTAGGTAATGAGTCTGCGATACTGTTGCAAAAGAAGCAATTACAACCAAATCAGACATCAAATCTGTTCAACTAGCATCAGATCTAAAACTACTTTTTAGGTAACAAATTAAAAAGTCCTGGTAAAACCAATGGAAGAATTCAACCTAGAAATTACACAAAATACAACCTACCATCGAAACCTTTCAGCTACCTAACGTAAGTAGAAGAGACAAATTAATCGTTCACAGGCTAAGAATTGGTCACACACGGCTGACACATGGACACCTGATGGCTTCGGAGAAATCACCTGTTTGTGAAAAGTGTAGTGAATCATTAACCGTTTAACATATTCTTACACAGTTGTCAAATACGAGCAAGAACAAAAAAAATACTCTATACATGGTCTTACAAATGTTATCCTCAGCCAATTAGAATTTTTTAAGAATGTACTAGATTTCCTTTGAGAAACGAACTTGTATTACAAAATTTAGTGTATTCTTTTTCATTACTTTCTCTTTCACATATTCTCTTTATTGTAAATTATACTTAATGTAATGTCATCATCATCATCAGTGGTGCTACAGCTCTAGTTGAGCCTTGACCTTCCCCAGTCTATTTCGCCAGTCGTTTCTGTTCATCGCCAACCGTTGCCAATTTGCCGCGCCGATTTTCCTTGCGTCCTCGTCCACACCGTCCCTCCATCTCAGTCGTGGTCTGCC